GCAAGAGTACAAACAAGACAAAGCAAGCCAGGGCGGCACTACTAGTCCAGCCACTAGAGGTAAGGCCACAAGGCCAGTCAAACAAGTATCTATAGTTGTCACAGGATCGAATGTGTCGAGGAAAGGTTCCACTATCGATCAGTACAAGGCGCTTTTATACTTCCAGAGTACATCAGGTAACCAGGTTTATCTTATCCTAAGGGAATAGACCCTTCTAGAAGATAGAATCACCCTGCGTATAGCCACGCGAGGCTATTGGCTTTAAGGGATTACGGCAGGATTACGCTAGATATAGCGCACCAATACATCCCAAGCCTGGTCGGTGATATACTTATAATAGCAGGATAAACCAAAGGTTAAGGAAAAAGGGAGAATAGGAAACCAAATGAGATGCGGTAAAAAGAGAAATGAAAAGGGAAGGAAATAAGAAAAGGCCAAGTGGTGTAACGGGGTCGTACTCTCACACTTCCCCCCCTCAAAGCTGGGTGGTAGAAGTAACACCCTGCTTGACAAGGTAGTCATGCAGAGGACGACGGGCGTTACCCATGTCGGACTCAGGTACCCAGCTGTCCTCAGAAGGATCATAACCCTTCCAACGGATGAGAAGCTCCACGGTGCCATTCCGACGACGACGATGTGCAAGCACGGACTCGACCTCGTACTCGGGTTCGTTCTGGACGAGGACGGGCGGCGGCGGCGGCGGCTGGCGTCCCACGAAGATCGTGTTAGGATCTCGATAGGGCTTCAGAAGTTGGACATGGAAGGCGTTGTGAATCTTCCAGGTAGCTGGCAGGCGTAAGCGGAAGGTAACGGGAGTGACTTGTGTTTCAACGAGAAAAGGCCCGCAAAAAGCGAGGTCGAAGTTTAGATGGGAGATGGCTGATGTCCAGGTTGCGGGTGTCGAGGAGCACCTGGTCTCCCACTGTGACGGTGTGATCGTTACGATGGCGATCGGCTTGGGCGCTTTTGTTGCTGTTGAATGTCGAGTAGGCGCTTGTGGGTCCGATCCCAAAGCTGGTGCATGGTTGTAATGAAATCATGTGCGGGTTGGACTGTAGCTGATGCTGTCGGTTTTTGTAGTGTGAGTGGGTGGCGTCCGTAGCAGAGGAAGAACGGCGTCTGTCCAGTAGCGGCATGTGTAGCATTGTTGTAGGCCAAACTCCAGAACGGGCAGGTGCAAGTCCCATTTGGAGATGTCGTCCTTGCAGGCTGCTCGGAGGAGTTGCTCAACAATTTGGTTGAGGCGCTCGTCTGTCCGTCTGTCTGCGAATGGTATGCGGATGACATGGCGAGTTTGGTGCCGAGAAGAGACATAAGTTCCTTCCAGAACTTGCTGGTGAACTTGGGGGTCTCGGTCGGGAAATGAGTGTAGTTGGGATGCCATGCTGTGAGATGATGTGACGAACGAAGAGCTGTGCTGTCTCCTCGGTGCGTGCCGTCGTGTGTGTCGGGATGAAGTGTCCCATTTTGGAGAACTTGTCAATGACGACAAGGATGGCGTCATGACCGCTGGAGGTAGGTGGTAACCCGGTGATGAAGTCTAGGCTAACCACTTGCCATGGTTGTTCTGGGACAGGAAGAGGCTGCAGTAGTCCCGCCTTTTTCTGCTTGCTGCTCTTCATCCGCTGACATGTATCACACGAGGTGACGAATTTCTGGACGTCATCTGCCATATGGGGCCAGTAGTAGTGTTTGGCGATACCGGTGAGCGTCTTGTTGCTACCGAAGTGTCCGGCGTACAGGACGTCGTGGTATTCTTCGAGTAGTAACTGGCGCAAAGGAGGGTAATTGGGTACCCAGATTTTTGTGGATCCCTTCCGGTATGCGATGTCATTGTCCCACTGTAACAGATGTCGCTTTTCTGCCAAGGGAATTTCGGGGTCGATGGCGTACCCGTGGGTGAAGAGTCCCTTGAGTAGTGGATTCATCCCTTCGATCTCAATCGCGGCAACGTGTGCAGGCCGGCTGAGAGCGTCTGCTTTGTTCTTGTGGCCGGGCTTGTACACGATGTCGTAGTGGAAGTGTGTCTCGAGGAAGTCGATCCACCGGACCTGCCGCCTGGAAAGGTTGGGTTGTGTTTTCAAATATTTCAGGCTGCAGTGGTCGGTGTAGACGGTTGTTCTTCGTCCTTCGAGATAGCATCTCCACGCTTTGAAGGCGATGATGATAGCAAGAGCCTCTTTGTCGTGTATCGGGTAGTTGAGTTCTGCCCCGTGCAGTTTCTTGCTGAGGTAGGCAATTGGTTGCAGTCCATTCCCCTGGTCTTGCATTAAGACTGCTCCCACTGCCTGGTCGCTGGCGTCAGCTTCGATTACGTAGTCGCGTTCGGGATCTGGCAAGATGAGCACCGGTGCGGACGTTAGTGCTTGTTTCAGCTGCTCCACGGCTTCCTGGTGCTTCGTCTCCCATTTGTAGGGCGTGTTCTTCTTCAGCAGATTCGTGAGTGGTGCCGCGAGTTTCGCATATTGTGGCACGAACCTGTTGTAGTAATTAGCGAAGCCTAGGAACTGCTGCAACTCCTTCACGTTCTCGGGTGTCTTCCACGTACGTACGGCTTCGATTTTCTTGGGGTCGACGTGAACTCCTTGAGCGCTCACCATATGTCCTAGGAACTGGACCTTTTCAAGGGCGAATTCGCTCTTGGACAGTTTGACGTAGAATCGTTCCCGTCGAAGAATTTCGAAGACGCGTCGCAGGTGTTCGACGTGCTGCTTCATGTCGCGCGAGTAGATGAGTATGTCATCCAGGTACACCACCACGCTTTCGTCCAGAAGTGGTCGTAGAATGTGGTTCATTTCGGCTTGGAACGTTGCCGGCGCGTTGGTGAGTCCGAACGGCATGACCAAATACTCGTACGATCCGTACCGAGTTCGAAAAGCAGTTTTGTGGATAGAGTTGTCCGCCATCCGTATCTGCCAGTATCCGGACCGCAGATCCAGTTTGGAAAATACCGTAGCTCCCCGAAGCTGGTCAAGCAGGTCATCGATTCGCGGTATCGGATATTTATTCTTGATGGTCTGCTTGTTAAGAGCTCGGTAGTCGATGCACATGCGCAGGCTTCCGTCCGGTTTCGGTGTGAAGAGTACTGGGGCACCGTATGGCGAAGTGGATGGTCGGATGAGTCCTTTGGCTAGGAGATACTCGATTTGTTTTTTCATGTCGGTCAGCTCCGTAGGGCTGAGCCGATATGGTGCTCGGAAGGTCGGCTTCGAACCCGGTTCCTCCACGATCTCGTGTTGATGCGTTCGGTATGGCGGTAGCTCGTTCGGAAGATCGTCAGGAAGAATGTCTTGGAACTCCTTCAGTAATTCCTTGATTTTTTCTGGAGTTTCCGAGGCTTTCTCTCCGTCATTCTCCACCTCTGTTGTTATTGCCAGGAACCCGGTGTCGGTCCGCTTCACATCCTTCTCGAATCGTGCGAGTGTCTCCGTTGGGATATCTCCAGTATCGTCCCAGTTGGGTAGCTGTACTCTCCGTCCATTGTTGTAGATGCTTGCGGTGCGGTTCACCCAGTTGATCTCGGGGTTGAATCTTTTCAGGAAGTCTCGCCCGAAGATCAAGTCAAGCCCTTTGATGTTGGTGATGGGGAGTGCAGGTCTCCAGCGCAGTGGTCCGATTTGTAGGTGTAGCACTGCTTCGCCGTGTACTGGTAACTTGCTGCCGTCCACCATCGTTGCAGAGAATCCTGAAGGCTTGTACTCTTCCCGAAGTCGGTCGATCATTGCCTTGTCGCAGACGGTGTGTGACGCTCCGCTGTCCACGAGTGCTTGGAGGCGTCGTCCTTTGCAGATGACCTCGAGCACGAGGGGCAGTCGTTGCTCGGAGTACCCAAAGATAGTTTCATTGATTGGGTCATAGGGTACATCCCAATACTCCGTACACACCTTTGTGTTGCTATCTACTCCTGAGCTGGCAGCTGGCCGAGGCTGCTTGGAGAACGGCTCTTCTCCAGGGCCCGGAGTTTCTTTGACGACTGTGCGCGTCACTGATGCCGAAGAACTGGATGCATCCGTAGGAGGAGTTCGGGGTTTGTGCAGCTTCTTGTAGACCCCCAGCTTCCTCTTGAGCTGCTTCAGCTCCACCGACGTCTTCCCTGGGGAGCGGGTAGTCGTTATGGGCTGGTGTCGGGAGAGGACGTTGACTCCGTGGAAAGGTCGGCTTCTTTCCACACTCCTTAATTTGGTCCCCAAGTTGTCCGGTACCGGTATGGTCTCCACAGCTTTCTGCTTCTTTTGGAGTCCCTCCCGAAATTTCTCCAAGGCTCTGGCTCCTCGAAAATCATAAGTTTTGATTAAAGCATCTTTATAAGATAACTTTAACGAATTCTTATAATTTCTTGGGTCTTCAAGGAGTTTCCCTGTCTCGGCAGAGTCTTTTTTCGCGGAGTCGTATTTTTCCTCGGCGATTTTCCCTGGCAAAGACTGGTCGTGGGGTGGAGATTTTCCCCCATTATTTCCTCCTTCTCGCGTCGAATCAGCTTCGTCGAAGTTGATTTTCCCGGAATCCCGCGACCGTTTCCGGATCTTTTCTTTTTCGCCAGCTAGATCCGCAATCACTGGCGACCCCCGTTTTTTGTCTTCGGATTGGCCGAAAGATTTCCGCCACTGTTGCGTGCCCGATACTCTGCGCGTGCGGCCTTCATTTTGTTGCAGTCGAAAATTCGGTGGCCCGGCACCCCGCAAATCACACGTGTAGTTGGTGTTTTTCGGACGTGGCCGCCCCTCGAATCTGTCGACTTCCATCGGGTCGGCGAACGTGGGGTGAGCCGAGCGGTCGCCCTGTCGCGTACTGCCGACGTGCGTCCGTCGTGCTCCGGCGTTGACCATGTCGAAGCGCTCCGCTGCCGAAACGACGTCACTGTAGCTCGCGTAGTTTGACGCTGCGACTTGTCGTTTGACTTCGGTCTTCAGCCCTGCGAGGTACGATTGCACTTTTTCCCCTTCGGTCAGGTCGGGAATTCGGTTATAAAATTCTTCCATCTGCTGCGTGTACTGTGCTACACTCCCGAACTGTCGATGGCGATGAATTTTTTCGCGGGCAAGGAAACTCGAATTTATCGGTTCGAAGCGTTTCAACAGGTCGGCGCGGAACTGCTGCCACGTGGCTTCACCGTGGATGAAAGTACTGTTGCCGCCAATCCACTCGAGTGCCGGCCCTCGCATCAGTGTCGCCGCGAGTCGTACGCGTTGACCGTCCCAGACTGGCGAGCTCCATCCGACGGCTGCGAAGTAGATCTCCATCCCGGCGATCCATCTGCGGGCGTCGGAGTTTCGATCGCTCGGATCGAACGGCTCAGGTGGGCGCGGTTTCGGAGCCTCGAGAAACTGCTGCGACTGCTGCGTCGTCGCCGTTGTCGTCTCGTGCTGCGCTCCGGCGAGTCGAGTTACTCGCTCGAACTGGTTTCGCCACGCTTCGCGATCCGCTCGCATTTCCTCCTGAAGGGCTGCGATGCGCGCGAAGAGCTGCTGGGTAACCTCGGCGTTGTCGAAGGTTGCCATCCTGTTCAAAACACGCACGGAGGGGGTAATTCGAAAATCGCGGAGCTGGTGCTTACCAGAATCGGCGTCGAATTGGTCGCCCCCGGCGGTTTTTCGAGGCAGGATCCCCGCTGCTGCTGCTTAGCTGAGCGCGGTCGAGTGAGAAAAGCTCTGATTACCAAGTGTCACAGGATCGAATGTGTCGAGGAAAGGTTCCACTATCGATCAGTACAAGGCGCTTTTATACTTCCAGAGTACATCAGGTAACCAGGTTTATCTTATCCTAAGGGAATAGACCCTTCTAGAAGATAGAATCACCTTGCGTATAGCCACGCGAGGCTATTGGCTTTAAGGGATTACGGCAGGATTACGCTAGATATAGCGCACCAATACATCCCAAGCCTGGTCGGTGATATACTTATAATAGCAGGATAAACCAAAGGTTAAGGAAAAAGGGAGAATAGGAAACCAAATGAGATGCGGTAAAAAGAGAAATGAAAAGGGAAGGAAATAAGAAAAGGCCAAGTGGTGTAACGGGGTCGTACTCTCACAATAGTAGGGAGTACACAATAAGGGTCCTAACAAGTGGGTAGCTACAGGAACAAGACCAAGCTGTACACAGTGCCGCTGATGATCTTTAGGCGCAAGCGCCTTAGTAAAGATATCAGCTGTGTTGGCACTAGAGGCTAAGTGAACTACGCGGGCCTGGCGACGCTGCTGTAGCTCGCGCAGGAGGAAGTACCGCAGCTGGATATGCTTCGCTCTGCCCTCAAGTCGAGGCTCCTAACATATGAGAATCATGGCCCTATTGTCAGCGTACAGGACCGGGGCAGAGCTAGGCCGCTCACCTAAGTCTGTGAGCAAGAAAGTCAGCCAGCGGAGCTCCTGTGCCGCCATGGCACCGGCATAGATCTCAGCACACAGCTAGACTGAGCCACAGACGACGAGCGAGTGGATCTCCAAGAGATAGCACCCGAACCAAGGCTGAAACAGTAGCCCTGAGACGACCTGAGAGTCGCAGAGTCGTCTGCCCAAGAAGAGACTGTGTGCCCAATGAGGACCACTGGCCTGCGTCCTCCAAGCACTAACCCCATGCCCGACGTACTTGCTAGATATCGCAAAACCCTCTTAGCCGCCGACCAGTGCTGTGGTCGGTGTCTGCCTGTGGCCACAAAGCGAACAAGGATGCTGAGAGGGTATGCGAGATCTGGGCGAGTGCAAGACATCAGGTACATAAGGCAACCCACCAGCTCGACGTAGGGGCCGCTGGGCTCTACTGGCTCCTCAGGAACGGGAGCAGAGAGCCCATGGTCTACAGGTAGAGGAGTGGGCTGTGCGGAGGAGAACTGAAGACCAAACCTCTGAAGAACCTGACGCACCAAGTGTGACTGTGTTAGGGTGATGGTACGTGCTGCCCTGTCCCTGGAGATCTGCAGGCCAAGGTAGCGACGCAGCGCTCCAAGGTCAGTGCAGGTGTGTCTCTTCAGCAGCTCGGCCTTCACAGAGGCCAGTGCGTCCCTGTCAGCAGTAGCGAAGACAAGGTCGTCTACGTAGACAATGATGTAGAACGGAGTCTGGCCGGACCGCACAAAAAGCGAGGGGTCAGCAGAGGACAGAAAGAACTGCAGGTCTGCTAGCGTGGCACGCAGCGTGTCGTGCCACTCGCGGGGAGCCTGGAACAGGCGGTAGACTGGGCGCCTGAGAAGCCACTGGGTCCCAGGGGGGAAGGTACCAGTGAAGCCCTGTGGTCGGCGCAGGTAGACCTGCTCGTGTAGGCTGCCCTGGAGAAAGGCAGTAGAGAAGTCGAGGGAGTGAAGCTCGTAGTCACGCTGTGCTGCTATGTGTAGCAGTGCCCGAAGAGTAGTCATCTTCGGGGTCGGGGCAAAGGTCTGGAAGAAGTCCACCCCCTCGCGCTGGCTGAAGCCTCTAGCAACGTAGCGCGCCTTGAAGACAGCGTGCTCTCCAGGGGGGCGCTTCACCTTGAAGAGCCACCGACCATCGACTACGTTCACCCCAGGAGGGGGAATTGCGTCGATGTAAGTGTCGGTGGACCTCCAAGATGCCAACTCCTGCTCCATGGCAGCTATCCACTGAGAGGCCCAGGGTCCCAAGGTGGCGACGGGAGGAGGGGAGGACGAGACGAGTGGGAACGGAGCAACATAGGGTGGGAGTGCAGGACAGGAGAGACGGGACGAGCACGTAAGGGACGGCGAGACCAAACGTGGGACAGAGGTGTGGGGTCAGGAGACAGTGGAGGGGACACAAGAGGGGAACGAGGAGGAAGACGAGCCGGAGAAGAGTCCGGGGGCGGGAACACAGGGCCGTAAACAGGAAGAGGAGAAGGGGGGGGGGGAGACACCGGCGAGCGGCCAGGAGAGGAAAGGCCGAGCAGACGAAGAGCGGAGACTGGCGGCGACGGCTGCGGCGGCTGCTCCGACGGCTGGGTCTCGACCCTCTGATCGGCAGAACTCTCAACGGCAGCACCCCCAGAACCAACACTCCCAGAGTGAGAACCCCCTCCAGCACCAGCGGCACCCCCAGGCCCGCTGGGACAGACCACGCCAGGAGCCGCGGGACGAGCATCCTCCGGAATGGCAGCACCCCCAGAGGCGAAGAGCGGCGGCGGCGGCGGCAGCGGCCGCGGCGGCGACTGCGACAAGGGGGGCGGAGACACCGGGGAAGGGGGACGCGGCAAGGACGGGCCGGAGGGACCTCCAGAGTCAGCAGACTCCTCAACGGGGACAACCGACGGGAGGGGAGTGATATGGGAGACACCAGACAGGGCAGGACGAGTCGGGAGGGGAGGAGGGGCTACCGGGGGAGAGGGAGCAAGGAACAGGGGGGAGGAAACCGGGAGACCTTGGTGAGGGAAGCGACGAAAGAAGGAGACAGACTCGTCAAAGGTGACGTCACGAGAGTGGAGGAAGCGGTGAGACTGCGGGTGGTAGAAGAGCCAGTCAGACGAGTCCAGGGGGAAACCGAGGAAGACACAGGGGACAGTGCGGGCAGTGAGCTTGTCCATGCCAGAGGCACGAACGTGAGCAAGGCAGCCCCAGACGTGGAACGTAGACGCGTCACCAGGGGACCCGGTCCAAAGG